AAATAAATACCTATGTTATAAATATATCAATTATTGAAAGGTCCAGTATGTAGGATTTAGGGGCATTTGATGACAGAAATATAAAATATTATAACTATATTTATAATAAATAATATTCATAGCTATGTTTTCATTCATTTGTGATCACCTAGAAATGAGAATCGTGTTTTTGTTACCTTAGAATGACTCATTTATATCTACATACAGAGCGGGTCCTCTTCCCTGGAGTCTGCCATGTTGTTTCTACAGTAGCCCACAGTGGACAAAACAAACACTAGCTCGAGACTGTAGTTCTTCTACAGGCTTGGCAGATGGAAGACAACCTCACTACTAAACAACATTAAATCCTACATACTGGACCTTTAAGATAAATTGCACTTTGCTGGTCATAGATTTAATTCACATTCATGTTTAGAATAAATAAATATCCATAAATAACAATAACAAAAATAAACACAGTGTAAAGCAAGGCCATTATTTTCAAAGCGTAGCATGGCTGTGCTCTCATGGAGTCATAATGGTGCATGCTACACTGATTTTCCACCAGGTTTTGCAGCCAAACAAACTAAATTTAAGTGTAACACCAAATACTCTCCACACACACATCCAGTGGGATCCTGCATTGACCTGAGGCGGATGTTTTGGCAATGACTTATTATAACTGTGAAGAAGAACGAAGGAAAAGAACATTTTCTGTCACTGTAAATTTCCAGTTCTGTAGAGCTACTCTCTGATAACACTGGGGCTTTGGTAAATAAATAAATACATAAATAAATAAAAATCCTAAGCATGGCATAATATACCAGAGAGTCATTGTCTCAGTCTATTTGTCACAGACTGACGTTGCCTCTGAAAGTACCTGCTCCACTTGTATAAGCCAGTCCCTCAGGCTGACTAGGACAGCCCGTCCATATTGTTTTTTTGCATAGTCATGACCGTGGGACAGCTGTGGGGGGGCTGCTGTTGTCGGCAGAGAGTCGATGTGTATGAGAATAGCCTTCATTCTATCTGAATGGCTGGAGAGGGTTCCTTTCACTTGTGACAGGGACGTCACAACAGATTCCTGATAATCTTGTACCTTTGAAATGTGCAAATAAAAAATCACATTCTTGATGTAGATGTCCTGCAGCTTCTCAGAAATGTTGTTACCAGATACTGTGGAGGTGGGAACATCATCTCGATTGGACCCGTTCTTGACACCATTTTTTTCGTCCTGTAAAAAAAAAAAAAGAGGGGGTGAGGTTTTAATGAATTCGCCATAAAAAGGGCAGAGTGAAGACGATGATTGTAAAATACACATTTTTATAAACTGACATGAAAGTCAAGTTGACTTGAAATAGAAATTTCATCAGAAATTTCAGTAAAAGAGAAATCCGATCCGTCTTAATCTGTCAGTTCAGGCAAAATTAAATGTGTAGACAAAAAATGTATATAATATATAAATATATAATAATAATATATATGATACAAAAATAAAAAACAAAAATATTGATACAAAGATAACAATTAAATGTATAAACAAATGATGTTTATTTTAGGTTTAAATGGTAGCTGAAGGTGATGTTCTCTGTTGCAGTATGAAGTAAAGTTATAATACTTAAGATAATCATGTTTTTTATAATAGAAATAGTCAGCATTTTTCAGCATTAGCCACTTAATTTACCTACATTCTGCAAATACCTTTCTACTTATTAGTTTTCACGGTAAGTGGCGGAGTCCGCCACACTCCATGTAATCCAATGTTACAGTGTTTTTATTTTAATCTCAATGACATCAGCGTCACTCACACCAAACATTTCATCCTACTACTACTTCACATTAAAAGCATGCAACTAGCCAAACACTGGGCAGGTAAAACAATTCACTGGACTTCCTGCCGATTAAAAATGCAACAATAAAATCTTAATTTGTGACATTTTTGACAGTGGATCAGTGTTAAATATTACAGGGAACAATGGAACATGATATGACAGTCATAGTAAGCTGTTAAATGATTGTTAAATATCCTGCTGTTGAGCTTTTAAAATGTTATTGACCGACATTTTTTTTTAAACATCAGTTTGTTTGGCTGCACTGTAAACCAATACACCAGTTGCTCTTTTGTTGTGTTTCTGACAAAGTATGTGCTAAAGGAGTGTTTGCTATAGTATAAAACTGTTACCATGGTAAATACTGATGTCACCAAATTTACAATTTCAAAGTTTAGTGCAGCTTTAAACTGACCTTCTCTGTGGAAAGGTGTGTGAATCTACAAAGAGGGATGCCCATGCTTTTGCTGATTCTTCAGGGGATTTGCTGCACGTCTATTTTTGTGATTGCTTTATGAGTGACTGGGATGGGCTAATGATGTCTACAGTGTCAAGCCCAACAGTGTTACTGTTACAAAAGCCCATAAAGTCACATTTACAGTAGAAGGCAGCAGGGGAGGATAAAATTCAAACAAGAAATAGCTGGAAGGTCACTTTGTTTGCAAGTTCTCTCAGATATTAAGTCACAAGTTTTGGACCAGTGGATACACTGAATTGTTTTAGTCCCTAGTAGTCTGGGTTTTGTGCATGATAAGAACAAACTATGTACAGGGAATATACATAAAGAAAATGACAGAATCACTGGGTGGTACTTACATATTCAGCCAGTGTATTGTTTACTTCTTCTTTCAGCTGATCTAAAATATTCTTGGTGCTGTTCACATCACAGTTGGTCTGAGTTGGAGCAGGAACCACAGGCCTCCACTGGACTCCCAGCAGCATCAAGGTAAGTACTAAGAAAAGATTATGTGGACATAGGTGACTCAAAATGCAGCACAGAGTGTAAGATAAAAGGAATCTGCTTCTTTTAGCATGGATTCCTCTTTGGATTTGACCTAAATAAGATCACTCTCTGCTGGTATCCAAATATATATCAACCTGCACATTTACACTACTACTCAAACAAATAAATGCACAGAAAAGTCTGTACCAAAGCTTGCTTGTAACATAAGTCATATAAAAGGTATATAAGGTGCTACATTTTGGACATTAAACTCAAGAAGTTAAATACTAAACTGCACGTTCAGACACATCAAATAACATTAATCTTTTCTTAAATTGTGGAAATAAATATTATAAAGATATTTACCGTAGCGCCTTAGAAGTCTGTTGAGTGCACAATCCATAGTGACAGCAGTCAGTGATTTGGTTGCTGTTCAGCAGCTCTTGATAACAAACCACGTTATAAACAGCAAGGTGCAACGTTGCAAAAATAATTTTTAACTGGTGCAATGGGCTATATATACAGTATTTTCAGTGCTTGGTCATCTATACCCACCCACACTGACACACAACCAACCCTACAAGGTTAGGACCATTACAAAATTCCATGATGACATTTTCTTTAACGGCGTCACTCATGCTATGACAGCATGTGTCGCTCGTCTCAGCCCCTTTGGTTTGAGCAGAGGTGTGACTTGTGTGCTCCTCAGATATTATCTTGGAAACAAGGTTCACACTCAAAAATGGAAATAAAATGTATAACACATCATATACAATCAAAGGTCATAAGCTTTAGAATTATAAGCATATTCAGTGATGCACTATTTGACTGACAGCTTTCAGGCATCTGAGAATGAAAACAATAATGAAACAAAATGATGAAATATGCAAAATCAACACCCTATTTTGAGTAATTCAGTGATGATTTGTCCTCTCACTCTCTGTGACAAGGGGTCAAGTGAACACAAGTCAGAAAAGTTGGGAAGTCTCAACTGTTGAAAAAAGGTCATCTTTAAGTCATTTATTGACATCACATAATCACTGAATAAATTTCAATTGAGACTTTTTTTTTATTATCAGTATCTCTTTTAATGCATGGTTTGTGTCACCTTACAGTATACGGTATAGAAACACAAATGCTGCTTCAGTAGGCTTTTCTTTACCAAACTAGTCATTCCAGTAATGCAACACAAAATGAGTACATATTCATTATACGTACATGTAAATCAATTGAGACTTTTGATTTTGCCCAACAAGTGCAATTTTATCTGTAGGAAAAAACTGCTGGCAAAGCAGTTCATAGCTGTCTCTTACACTTAACAGATATGGCTGATACATTTCAGTGGTTTTGTCATTTGAAACGGCTACTCCAGCTAAATCTTATCGCAGGTGAATGCTCTGTCATAGCTGGATCTTCGTGCATCCTTCAGCAAATCATAATCAGTGGATTTAACATACAGCAAATTTTATCTTACCTTGCTGACGGCAGCTTTTCAGATCAGCGGCTCGGTCTTCTGGCGCGCCCCAAGGTTCCATTATGGGTCTCATTTTGTTTGCTTTGCACATACTTCCCCTTGGACATAAAATCAGTTTGAAGGTGCATCTCATTTCTATGTGGATGAGATTCAATTAGCATTCTCATTTCAACATCACAACACAAACAAAGTGATGTTTTTAAATATATTTCATGAAAGATGTCCGTCCACTTATTTCCTGCAGGTAAACACATTGGTTGCAGATGAGATTTTGCCCTTGACAACCTGTTCTCAAAGCTGAGGGAATGTTTTGGGTTTGTTTCATCTTCATTTAGGTTTGTTTGTCAGTTCGTCGTCATCAGCATCTACAGCTACGATGGACATGCTTTTTTTTAGGCTTTTATTCCATTAAGAGAGGGCTACTTATAGCTCACCCCTGACTAAATACCAGAGGTGATGACACCTTTGGGGTGTCGACTCTCAAGACTTCCTTTGAAAGCTGGGTGAGACCAAATGCGACAGGGAAGTTCTGGGAAAGTAACTGTAACTATTACTGTCACTCACTTGTTCAGTTCCTATTTAACAATAAGTGACCTGTCATCCTAACTTCCTAACTTTGACTTGTGAGTGATCAGTGACACACTGTAAGGCTTGATCTGTCAGTCATGAGGTAGTAAATATTTGTTGGAGAATGCAGTTGTGCAATGTGTTGAATTTATGCCTGACAAAAATGTTACTGGGTCATGCTGAGACATCAACAGAGAGAACCTGTTTTCAATACTCTTTATTGAATGAAGCAGCACAAAAATTTACAAATGTTTACATAATACTTTTACTTCAAATTGTACAAAAGTTGTACCAAAGAAAAAAAAAACATCTAAGGGATATAAGCTAAATCAAAAGTTTATTGTGCAAATAAAAATAAGACGTAGTGTTATTGACCTTGGGTAATACTACGGTAGAGAAATGATGACCTCTTAAAAAACAGAAACACTGACTGAGCCTACTGTTCTACCTGACAGCATTTGTAGTAGTTTTAACAAACAAGAACTACCTACACATTCTCCTCAAACCAAAACGAGTGAGCCCTGTTTCAAAAAGTAGAAATTTTAAGTTTTCTTTTGCATGAAAATTAATGTAAGATCCATGTTCGCACAACTGTCTTGCATTTCAAGCTTCACGCTTTCAGTTAAACAAAAAAAAATTGTGACAGTTTATGATATAAACATTACTGGAAGACTGAGTTATGTGTTTGTAGCACTGGTGAAAATGTATGTGAGTGTGTTCTATTGTTTGCAGCGAAATAATATTATAAACAACTTTAGACCACGAGAGCTCAAATTCTGCATTAGAAAAAAAAGACTATCATATGTCTGGTTTTGTGCTTTCGAATTTGTATGTGCGAGTGTGTGTGTCTGGATGTGTATATGTTTAGGAGTGATTGTGCATTTTAATGTGCATGTGTGAGCTTGTGGGCCCCCTGGGGCTCAGTGCATCCCGCCTCAGATAGGTAAGACAGGAGGCCTCACAGACAAACTGTATGCACACCGCAAAGAAGCGCTTCTGGTGTTCATGGCAAGTTCATAGTAGTTAATACTGCTGGCGATGCAGTGCTAGTCTAGGCACAGGGTTAGCCTCCTTTCCCGCTGGCCTGCCACCCTTGGCCACTAGAGCTGGAGTGAGGGGCGGCACATTGAGCCAGGATCATCCAGCTCAGACGGGTCTTCAAAAATCAACTAGCGGCTGGTTCTTTCCTCTGATGCTGGAGCATGCCTGTCACGCTCACGATGTCCTCCTCGGGGACCTATAACATAGTAAAATAAAGTTAAAGCAGTGTTAGTCCATTTTTTGGCCAGCTGGGGGCAGCGGAGCAAGCTGGAAACACAACATATTACCACTTTATAAAGTTGCTATGGTAAAGGTGTTGACATACAGTTACCTATTTACCCATCCAACAAGGAACACCATTAGCATTCAATTAGAGATCAATATAGGGTCAAGTTGCAATACATTGTACATTCATACATTCGTATACGAGACTTGTATAATGTGGACAAAGTGTCTCTCGCTCCTTCCCTCCCTCTATCTCTCTGTTGATGCTCTGTGCATTAGTAAGATTAATAGCCTAAATAAATAAAAATATTCATATCATTTTCCAGCACTAGATTCATTTGACAGGCCAACAGATGGAAAATTACTTTTTAACTCCCCCACAGTGATTTTTAATTGTTCCAAACTCCAATTGATTTAGGCCTACTTGAAACCTTTAAACCTCTGTAGCTCCAGTGCTATTTATTTTTTATCATTTTCATTTACATGTTGTGCAGCTGTATATTTTCAGACAGGAGAAAAATCCCTGTCTTTGCCTTATATTTTGATCACAGTCTGCTTTTATAAAAGTGTTTGTGACATTTAAAATGTGGCTTTGATTTGCAACTGAAAACATGGAGCCCATTTCATAGAAAATACTGAGATATATATCATGTATTGCCAGTCAGCCTATAAATACTGAGATATGAATTTTTGTCCATATCACCCAGGCCTAGATACAATCAGGGACAAAAGACAAATATAGAGTTGGGTGACGTCTACATAACTGAAAATTCAAGAAAATAATGGACCAAGCATTGAGCCTTGTGGCACTCCACATGGCACACTCATTCTGTGAAATGAAAAATTGTGGTTTTTAGATGCCACAATACATATCAAGAACTATTTTTGTAAAAATGAGACAAGTGATAAGAGATAAGCAACTTATAACAATCAAATATATCACCAGACTGGTATTTTGCTTTTTTGCCATTTTCTCAGTGGACCCACCAGCCCCAGAGCAGGGTTCCCAGTTTGTGACCTCTATCAATGTTTCTTACATTTTTCCTTTTTGGTGTAAAAGGAGTGCATTTTCCCTGCCTAATATGGGAAATAGTCTTTGTCAGAACTCACACACTACAACCAATAAAATACTAGTTTTCAAGTCCAAACACCTCACTATTAAAATTAATGTTAACGGTAACAGATGAAATATTTCCATGGCATTCTTTGTCACTAACTGGAATTTCCCCAAAATATCATTAAAGATAAAATGATTGTGATTATTTCAGTGACTAATTAAAATATGACCTGCACAGTGACTTCACATCATGCCGTCTGCACAAGTTCTTTCACATGTTGCAGCTTTGTTCCACTCCACTTTAGGAAATGTCCTCAACTGTTTCTGTTGCAACTACTTGAGCTTTCCAAATGACTTGCATCCTTTTCATTCTTCCTCTTTATATACATTTAACTGTGCTGGCTGTTCAAGCAAAATTGGGCGATATGGCCCTAAAATAATATCATGATATTTCAGGCTATTTTTGTGATATATTATTATTATTATTATTATTAATTTAAGAATTGCAACAAAATCAGTGATATAGTTTTACAGTTTGCCTTTAAATATGCAGTAAAAACTAAACAATGATCTCTGATTTCTTTAGTTTGTGAACAACAACAGTAACTCAGAGTGAGATTCAGATTCTGTTACAATATTAATAGTTCAACAAAATCAAATCAAATCTACCACAAATTACACATTTAAACAGCTCCCAAATACAAAAAAATGTACCCTGCGATCTATATATATAAATCAACAGGTGATTGTAACCTGTGACAGGCGGTTATGATACCAGAACTGCTGCACATTCACATATATGGAGTATTTTTGTCAAGCCGCGAGGTTTATGAAAAAATCACTTGAGGAAACCGACTCCTGTGTGCGCGGCGAGAGAGGAGAGGAAGATACGCAGTGCTGCTGCCAGAGGAGCCGCTGAATGAGTTCCCTCTGAGCGGTAAGTCACTAAAAGAGTCTGAGAAGTCCAGGGCTGTTCATAAAACATTCAGGATGCCACAGTTTATTCCACACTACTGAAGCTGCTCCTCTTTTTGGAACCAGCGCGGAGTCCGTAATAATTTTGCTTTCAGTCATGCTTGTTGTACAGTATGATGTCAATATGTCAACAAGTCCAAATGAGTATCATGAAAAGAATTTTTCATATGATACTAAAAATCATACTGGTATTGTGAACGAGATGATGTGGCACACCCATAATTATGGGATTATGGATTACATTATGAAAAGACAGTTACTACAAGACAAACGAATAACACCTTAAAGCTGAAAACACACCAAGCAACAGTGAAGTGCGGCCTGCGGCGAGTTGCCATGCGTGGTCTATGGAAAGCTGTAGCAGCCGCTCTGAGCTGCAGCGGTTTGATTCTGCTGCAAAGTACGGCCAAACTAAAATTCAGGCACAGTTTAAGCTGCAAATTGCAGCTTGAGAATACCTGCAGCTAATTAATAAACAGTCCTATGACTCCTGTGACATCTTGACCTGTGTTACAAAGAATTTCTTCCTGCCTGAAACACGTGAACATGCCTGTGCGTCGCACCTTGCCGCTGCTTGGTGTGTTTTTGGTGTAACTGGTTGCAAATAGATAGAGTGTTGGATTTAAAAAAAAAAACCTTACATTTCAAATATGAAATGTGACTAGTATTTTGTGTTTGCATCACAAACTTCATAATAGCACATACATTAGTTATGTACGTCTTCATGCTTTCCATGCATCTTGCAGAGATCGTTTCCCCTGATTGTGCTTATTTACAAGAAGTGTACCAATGGAAGCCCCATTAATGTCACAGCTACTTTATTTTTTGTCTTGTCTTTGCCTTTTTGTCAAAAGAATTTGCTATTATTAGGTTGGTTTGTGGTTTACGCCAACCCCGCTCCGGTTTACAAGGTTCCAGTAATAGTAATTCCATGACAATGATTAAGTGCAATGACCTTGTACGACTAGGACACATAATGGTTATGTTAAGCTCAATGACACGCTATATTGCATAATACAGCTCTGAAAGTGTGTTAAACACTCATTTCCAAAGTATTGTGTAAATAGAACCATAACATATATATAAATATAGAGGTGGAATACCCACAGATTCAGCGCCATGGCTAGGCTCATCCTTATTCATCCTTCTTTTTGTTAATCTTTGCTCAGTTTTTGGTGATTACGCTGATTGAACAGCCCAAATATCTCAGACTAGAAGGCTGTATGACTACTTAGCACTTTGTAATGCAAAGAGAATTGTGTGCAAACAGTCACAGGGCTTTTTTTTTAATGCCTCACCGGTGCCAAATGGTTTGTGGTTCATTTCTTCTGTGAAAACCCTTCCCTCTGACCCAAAAATTAAGTTAAGGATAAGGGTAAAATGACTTGAAAATGTCAGACTCATGTATTCAGGGCTTTGAGATAAGTGAAGCCGAAAACCAATACACCAATACACAATACAGTCGACACCTCAGGTATGATTGATAATTTGAAGAGATAATAGTCTCCTCCAGTTTAGGTCGCCGGCTTTGCTGATTCACTCAGTGAAAGACTTTCTGCGATAAGTTTCTGAGTAACAGCAAACAAACGCACAGATAAAGTTTTCTTGGTAAAGATGATGTAAGTGGCAGGAGATGGTGACTAAGGTGGCAGCCAATCAACCGCTGTGTGGTAAAGCGGAAAAAGTCAATAAGAGATCAGGAAGCTGTGTGTCGACTGTGTGGAGTGTCAGCTTCATATAAAAGATAAATTTGTATATTTACAAACACCACAAAACAGTGATATGAGCAAGAGTTAGTGACATTAGTTCAGGCTGAGAAAGATTTTTACATCAGGATATGCATGAAAAACTAAACCCAATCTGATACATTAGAACGTCTTCATTGTAGAAACTTTTATTATAGTTAAAATCGTTCAATAAAATATTCTCTCAGCCATAATGTACAAATAATGTCCACAATTAAATATGTCTTGAAACAAATCAACAACGTGTTAACACAAACAGACATGTTTTAGGCAAAGAGTCAAAACGACATAAGATGCTTTAATTTCTAAAAAGATATCTGGGTGGACTCATTTTATAATTGCAAAAATCTGCAAAATGATTTGATTCACTTTCCACACCTCCGAGTGAAAACACCCTCAAACTGATTTAAAACCACCTGCCTTCAAACTTTGCTCATGACCGAACGTCACAGGAATGCTGGTTAATGTGACATAAGCGTGGTCTTTATCTGTCTCCATCTCCCACACCATGAAGCAAGAACCAAACCTGAAATTCTAAAATAAGTGGGCTAAGAGTAATTGCTGGCCTGACTAATGTTGTGTTGGACTCACCAGAGCATGGTCGAAGCTGAAGGTGCTTATGTAATAGGCAGAGATGTCGCTGTCGGCCAGAGGCTGAGATATCTGGGCCACGATACCACATTCATCTGAAGAAACAGAGAGTATGACAACCATTAACAAGTCTTATGAGCCAAAGTTAACAGATTTCCATTTCGTGTTAGGTTTGCTTTGTATTAATCCACTTCTAATTGTTCAGAAATATCCAAGGACCACTTTCACAAATAAATGAAAAAACAAAAAATAAAAACAATAACATGTGTTTTGCAACTGTCAGCTGTAATGACCACAATAACTATAGTGCTTCCCCTCACCCTTCACTCACTCATTCAGTCATTATGAGTCTGATTCAGAGTCATATTTCATCACCACATGCTTTGGAGCAGGGGTGTCACACTCACTTTAGGTGATGGGCAGGGCTGCAACTAATGATTATTTTCATTGTCAACTAATCTGTCGATTATTTTTTCGATTAATCGACTAATCATTTTTTCGAAAATGTGTTAAAATGTTGAAAAATGTCTGTCTGTCTCTCCCAACCCCCCAAATTATGTCATCTAATGTCTTGTTTCATACTTACGCCAAAGGGTTTTAGTTCACCGTCATGGGAAAGTGTGTAAAGTATGGAGTTAGATCTGTGTCTTTATTACATGCGAGAAAATAAATGATATGAGAGAAAAAAAAATATTTGAGAGAAAAAAGTTTTCACACTGATAGCAAAAAATAATAATATTTGAGACTAAAAAAAGTTTTGAGAGAAAGTATTTTGTCATAGAATGATGGATGACATTATTTTCGCAGCGAAAGCAAAATCCTGACATGAGAGCAAAGACTTAGGTTTTGAGAGAGAGAGGAAAAATGTTTTGAGAGAAACAATTTTTTTGAGAGAAAATGTTTTCACATCGATAGCAAAAAAATTATATTTGAGAGTAAAAAAAACTTTTTTGAGAGTTTTTTTTTCTCGGAAATCATTATTTAAATCTCAAATTATTCTTTTTTATATTCTATGACAAAATACTTTCTCTCAATATGACCACAATAAGTATGCAGTGCTTTTTCAGATAACTGTATTCTGGTCAGGGTGGAAAAACCTCTGAAGCAGCATTCTGCATGAAGACAGCTACTCACTGTTTAACGTGCTCCTTAAATTTGTCACCTCTTAACCTTCACAAGTGCATCACTATTAGGTGTGCAAAGTCATCCAGTGGGCCTGTACGGACCCCTTGGTAGGTGTGGTCTGGCCCCTGTACCATACATTAAACACCCCTGCTTTAGAGCTTTTACTGGTGCAGCGTCTCTTCCACATCACCTTTTTGTTTCAAAACCAATCAAGTTTGTATCACTGCATCCAAAGAGACATCAGCTAGTTGAAAGCAGCAAAACATGTTTTTCTCTACTTGGTTCCCACACATTTTTTTGGACAAAATTTTAAAGCTGTTGCATGACTTTTCAAGGGCCCATAACACAATTTCAGTGACCATTCACAATGAATAAAACGAACATCGTGGCATCTCAAAAATGCAGTACTACAGAAGTTGCAGTGGTGAAAAGCATAGGCACAGAAACTTTGGGATTCATAACCCCTCATATTTACTCACGTGACTATGTGTGTGTGTGTGTATAACATTATTTTTTCTCTTATTCAAACATCAGTTTCAAACTCTGTTCAAACAAAATTCCTGCCAGCTGCAATACCAGGAGGGAGAGATAAAGAAAATAAAGAAATGTACGTGATGGTCAACAAAACGTTGTTGCACACTGGTGCATATTAGGAGCTATGTTACACTGGCAACTAGCCTATAGAAAATAAATTTGCCATTTTGTTACACTATGTAAGAGGTTATCCACAGAGGAAAACTGGAATAGTTAGGTTCAATACACACATCAAAATTCTGTAACTTTTCCAAAAGTTTCAAGGCTTGAACTAATTTTATTACTTTTCCAGGCCTGGAAAACAAGATTTGAAATTCCGTGACTATTCCAACAGTCACCCAGGAGAAGCTGGAAAGTGTTGCTGGGGAGAGGGACGTCTGGAATACTTTGTTAAACCTGCTGCCACTGTGACCTGGCTTCAGATAGGTGGCTGAAAATGAATGGATGGATGACTAATCCACGTTGTTCATGACCGTAGGAACCCTGTCTCTGATGTGCTGTGGTGATATTCAAATGTAACTGCTCACTGAATTTATGCATTTTAATTTAACTTTTTTAATGTGAATTCTTGAGCATTTTTAAATATGAATATAACTAGCTTTGTAAATTACAAAAAAGCAAACAAACAAACAAAAAACACTCCATCCTCTCTGACCAATTGGCAGCAACATGTCCCACTAGATGGCGTTATTGGTGGTCCCACTGGTTCACATATTCTAACACAAACTATCCAATCCTTTAAGTAGTTTACACCTCAACTGACAAAGTAATAAATTAGTTGTTACAAAATGAATTATCAAAAAACAAAATTTATTTAAAATCACATCTGTGTCAACATTAAGGCTGAAAACCAATAAAAATTAATATACCTGCAAATACATCTTGATAAAATGAAATCTCCTACAACAATATTAGATAGATATTAGCTCCACAGACACACAGTGATTTATAACATTTCACAGAGCGACCCAGTCACATGTTACAGTGAATTAAAGTCTGTCTGCCTGTGTTTGTACAATAGACACAGTATCTGTCACCATCTCTGTCACCAGCAGATAATGGCAGCACAAATCACTGAGACATTTTTAATAGACCATAGAAAAGATGTTATTAGCTTGCTAAGTCTGATAGGTACACAGACTGTTTAGATTGCAAACATATCTGGTAGGAGTTGGACCATTTCTGATCTGATTTATGGCACCAGACAGACGACAAAGCACTTCCATAAGCAGGTGTGGCTGTACCATGTGACTAATGCTCTCTTCCCTGTATACACAGTAAATCACTACATGTTGAGGTATTTAAAAGAAAGCATCCTTACCAAAGCCCAGCGGTTGTCCCCCGATACGCACCATTCTCCACAGCTCCCCGGAGGAGCTGGTGAAGAGAAGATCAGCAGGAAACCTGAAGCACAGAGATCCAGCAGTGTTTTCTACCAAGCAAACCAAGTCAAACGCACATAAAAGCTTATCAGAGACGGACAGGGGAAAACCCTCTTCCAGCTAACGCCAGATAAAAGCTAAGAGATGCGCACAATGCAACCGCTTCAAAGGAGCGATACAACAGTGAAAGAGCAACAATGACGTAGACTGAGGTAAACTGCTGTAACAAGGCCAAAAAGGGTTAAAATTGGCAAGTGTCATGACAGAGCTGTTGTGGTTCAAATGCAGCTGGCAACAACATCAGTACTGAGGTAAGATGTACCTGAGAAGCTTCCAATAACAGCTCCCATCACACTGCTGACAGTGCGGAGGTCAAATCAATTGTTTGTGCCATCCCAGCATTTCACTGTACATTATAAGGGTGTCAAACTTGGACTGAGCCAGTGCAGGAATCCTTACTGTCTCTGAGCCTCAGTGTCCATCACCAGAGAGATGTAGCCATCGATGAGGGAGAAGGAGAAGAACTTGATACAGTCCAGGTCCTGGCTGGGAGACGACTGTGCATCCTCTTTGGGACTGGAGAGGTAGAGACACATTTGGTGAGACATTACAGACAAAGGCCCTCAGAAGCATTGATTTGAAAGAGGCAATCTGTATTAGAATAAAACATGAAGTCACACATTAGAAACACTTATCAAGACAGAGGAAAAAGCCGTGACAGAGAGAGCAGTTATTCTAAAGGAATAAAAACACTATGATAACTTTTGAATTATGTATCTTATATAAGGGGTGTCAAGCTCATTTTAGTCCATGCGCCACATGCAGCCCAATTTGATCTCACATGGGCTGGACCAATAAACCATCCATCCATTTTCATCTGCTCATCCAGGGCCGGGTCACGTGGGCAGCAGGCCAAGCAAAGCACATCAGACGTCCCTCTCCCCAGCAACACTTTCCAGCTCCAGATGAGATATATAATCCCTCCTGTGTGTTCTGGGTCTGCCCCAGGGCCTCCTACCAGTGGGACGTGCCCGAAACACCTCTAACAGGAGGCGCCCAGGAGGATCCTGATCAGATGCCCGAACCACCCCAAGTGGCCCCTTTAAATGCGAAGGAGCAGCGGCTCTACTCTGAGCTCCCTCTGGATGTCCGAGCTCCTTACCCTATCTCTAAGGCTGGAAACTCAGCTCGGCCGCTGATAAAACCATCCCATAATGACCTACAAGTACAATCAGCTTCAATATTTTCCCTTTTTTGTGTGTAAAGAATTACAAGCACACAATGTAGATGTTCATCCTTTTACAAAACAGATGAACAGCCTGAGATGTCTCAAGAAAAATAAGTGCATGGACCCTTTGGTGGGCCGGTTCTGACCCACAGGCCAAATGTTTGACACCCCTGATTGATATGATTTGGCTTTATATCATAATTACAGCGTACTTAGGACATGTGGCCAAATGTCTTTAAGTCCAGGGTAGGGCAGACAGTTTATTTTTTATTATTTTTAATTATATTAATTCAAAAAAATATAAAAATATTATCATTTTAATTTTAATTTATTTTATTTATCTTTATTTTTTATTTAATTTTCCACATAAATTTGATTTTATTTTTAATTTTGTAATTTAAGTAATTTAAGTTAACCTTTTACTATGCCTTTCTCTCTCTGTGATCTTTTAAAGTTAAGAGTTCAGTTCTTGGATTAAAAAAAACAAAACAAACGACAATAAATAATTTTGATTCTAACCCTAAAAAAATGACAGCAAGAGCAGATATTCGCCTGCATGATGATCCTCTATGTTCACAATATCTTGTTGTGAAAAAGGTCAGTGTGTATTTTCACAAGTGAACTGATTTGAACTAATCATCTGTTTGACAATCTGCCACGTTCAGTGTAAAAACCCAGTGCACTGAGGTCTAGTTTGGATCATGTGCTGCCACCTTGTGTTCTCCAGAGGTACTGCAGCGGTGTGAGCAAACGTCTCACCTGTTGGAATAAAAGAGGACGTCGATGAGCGTGGTGGCGATGGACGGCAGCGTGTCCGGGTCCAGAGACATCACACAGAACTGGTTCTGGGGGATCAGCACCGGGTGAACTGTAGGATGGATGGCTGGAAGAGAGAGGACGGTGTTAGTTTGTAAGAACATCTGAGATGGACGTGTTTTTCAGATGACAGCATTAAGAACAGATGTACTGTGCATATTTTTCTTTAACTGTAGATCTTTTTTAAAATATTTTTTATTGATTAAAACAGAAAATAGATTTATAGAAATATGGGTTTTTTTAGGAACTTTCACTGGATTATTTTGATACTAAAAAAAATATTAGGAACAGATATAATTCTCTGGCAAGTTGTGAGTTTTTTCTGGTTTCTAAGTGGATATATGGACATATTTTTGCTGAATTGACACTCATGTTTCATAATCTGTCACGGCCTTTAATCCATAAATTGAGTTTGCAGTGTTCTACCACAGAGGAGGTTTTCCCAACTTTATTTTAACCTTCTTGTTCAGCATTGCAGGTGAAAGCAGTGAAATAAGAGCTGCATTTATATCACTATTGTGCCCACAGAATGACAGGTTTCCAAACTAGACATATGACGAGTTAAAAAAACACACGTCTCTGAGACAACATCTCAAAGATGCAAAGATATGGAAGACTGCGTAAGGGTGGAAGTCATTCAGCATGTACTGCTCTCTGCGTACAGCATGTTCTGTGCTTCATGGTGAGGTTAAAATAACTTCCTGTAAAGGACATGGTAATTCATTGCAGCTTCAATGTTTCTTCATGTTTATGAACCCTGGTGTGGGCCCAGCCTGTCTGCATTGTTTCTTTATATAATGTCATATACTGCGATGTTTGTTTAAGGCAAACATTGTTAAACACAGCAGGTTCCTCCTGCTATAAATGACCTACATACTTCACTTTATGCATCATAATGGCACACAGCTTCCCCTTATGTCCGTTTAAACACAAAAATACTGACTTAATATGATGCATTTAACACTGTTTATAAAATGTACATGCAGCATTTTCATGTTCAGACTCTAAACTTGCTCGTGCTGCATCTGTTAATGTCCTTTCTTCCTTACATTCAAATTAAAACTGTGTAGTTACAATAATGTTATCCAGGCCTGAATTTCACAGGAGCTTCTGCAGAAAAATGACTCATGCTGTTACTCAAGTTTCTCAGTTTCTTAGACTAGTTTTCTAAACAACACTTTTTACACTTTGTATTGAAGCTGTGTCACTGCACTACCTGAGTAACTCCCTCAGTCCCAGAGAAACAACTCATGTGTCTGACTTGTGACCTGTGACTGTGTTTTCAGCAGGGTGTCTAAAAATATTAGACACTTGAATGCTTTTTAAGACCTTTTCAAGATCATGTTTAACCAAATTTAAGACAGATTTCTGGACAAGTCAGTAAAGAAGGCAGTTTTAATCCTGTCTGTCTGACATAAAGTGCTGAATGTCCCAAAACCTTCTCTGGTTAAATGACAGTAAATCAGAAATAATCCTCTTCGGTCCTCCCAAATCCATCACTATTCTACAAAACCATCTCGGCCTCCTCTCTGCAAATGTCAAACCTGCAGTTGAAAACCTTGGTGTGATATTTGACAGTGGCCTCTCCTCTGAAAAACAAATTACAAGTGTTGTCCAGTCCTCCTTCTATCAATTAAGAAGCACCTCCAAAATCAGATCCACTCTCTCAACATGATCTTAAGAAGGTCATCCATGCTTTCATTTCCTGGGTGCGAAATGCAGCTTCTCAGCTTAACTAACAAACACAAGAAAATATGACCACATCAGATGTGTTTTAGCCTCTCTTCACTGGTCAACAGTCAGTTTTAGAATAGATTTTAAGATTTTACTGATCACTTTTAAAGCACTTCATGGCTCAGCCCCCGAGCTACATTGCTGAGAGGCTGCTCCCCTGTGAGCCGGGTCGTAGCCTCAGATCCTCAGACAGGGCTCTGTTGGCTGTTCCTCAGTCCCGGCTCAAAATAAAAGTAATCGAGCTTTTGCGGTTAAGGCCCCTCAGCTCTGGAGCTCCCTGCCTGAGGATCTGAGGCTTCCTGAATCAGTGACATCTTTTAAATCGCTTCTTAAAAGTTATCTGTTCAAAAAAGGCTTCTTTCAATTTCAGCACACTGTTTATTTTATATACGTCTCACTTTCCTTTTTTTATTGTTGTTATCTTGTGTTGTAATGGGTTATTGTGTTCTTTTATTTTGTATTACTCTAACTGTTTGACTTGCTGCTCTTGTCCCGGGATGCTATGACAACATCTGGACTGTTTATTAGGAGCGCTGTTGGAAGATATATAGGTCTACTGTTCGGTAATTCATTGCACCACAGAGCATACTCTGGGCACAGACGGCTGAATGTCAGACACAGTGAAAGTGAAAACAACTGTTCATTGCGCTGGGTCTAACAGTTTGCTTTCAGTCGCCTCTGCAGCAGCTGCTCCTCTCATCTATCGATCTGATCCGATCAGCTCTGATCAATCATTCACCCTGCGACTTTAACTCCACAAACTGCTGCTGAGGAAAGAAAGAACTCACAAAGAGTTCTGCGCTGTGTTCACGGACTCGCAAAACCTCTGGATTTAGAGAGGCGGCACAGAGTGATTCAAACGGACTCAGATGGATTCAAATTCTGTGTGACACACTGTAAAATATGGCTATATTAGATTAAATATTTGTGGCATTTAAAACCTCACAAATTCAAATTTAAGACTATTAAATGATTTTAAAGCCTTACATTTATAAAATTCTAAGGACTTGCAGACACCATTGTTTTTAAAACACTTCCTATGTGACGATTAAATCCTTACACTTGCTACAAAGAACCTGCAGGTGGCGCCAGAGGACCTTAACGCTTCATCCTGAGAGGTGCGTGAACTCAATGCTAATCCAGACCTCTACCTTCTTTGCCGTTCTTCTGGAGTCCGTTGGAAACATCCTGACAATGCATAGGGACAGACTCTCCTCCCACCTCCTTGTAGATGTTGAACTCCTCCTCCAGAGTGCTGATGACAACAGACAGGTCTTTCTCTCTCACCTACACAGGACAGATGTGGAACATAAATATGTTGTGTACAGCGAGTTTATTTGCAATACAAGGTGAGCATACATCATGTCGTTTCAGACAACACAGGCTCACTTTAAGGGAACACTTGAGCTCAACCGGCACGTCGACCATTAATATACTTGCTGACACAAACGTCTGTCAAGGCGTTATCTATTTTCGCCCACTTAACACTTTTGCATGTAATATATCAACTAACTTTTTAGTGCCCTCAGCTCTGCCGGGAATTAATTCCTTAACTGCAAAATTGGTGTGTGGACAAAATGCCGACACTGGCTTCTTTTGTCTGGCAGAGCTCAGTAGGTGAAAGGAGAGGAGTTTTGATACACTTAGAGAGTTTGAGAAATTGCTCCAGATGTCTTTAAATTATACAATAGTGAGCGGCTGACTGTGCCTCTTCCATTTTACAAGATAGTTGTGAACACTGATGAGACTGGAGCGCAGCAAAAGGCTGAAAAAGTAAAGAGAGTGAAGTAGACGGGGCTCACCAGGATGAAGTCGGTCTGGTAAGTGGAGAGCATGAAGACAGAGACGTGCTGCTGGGCCAGAGGGGCGATGACCGACTTGGCAATCTTGGTCACGCCGACAGCCTGTGAGCTGCTGGAGGCGTTGCCATTGGAGGCCACGTTGAGCGGCAGCCAGATGGAGCTTTCTACCTTGAGATGCTCTGAGGGCTGGAGCTCTGAGTGGGATTCAAGAAGAGAGAAGTTGGTCAGTGAGTCACTGGGTATAGACACAATATCCATGACTTCATGTTGATGTGTTTCAGTGTACATGCCCAATATGCAGGTCACAAGATAAAAAAAATGTGGCTAAATGTGACTTAAAGACATTTAGGTTACTGTTTCAACAGCTTTTAAGTGTTTCAGTGTGCAGCGGGTCATTACTGCAGACTGAAATATAGTCATTAAATGCTGTTGTTGCTGTTTTAAAAGGGCACTCCACCCAATCTTTTACACAGAGTACAGAGATCATTTTGGAGGGGGCTTCCTGAAGTCTAATAAAAATGTTTTATGTTGTGCTTAAGATGTCAAATATTTGACAGAACACATCCATCATAAACTAGGGGCACAGAGTTTGAAAGATGTGGGCATTTAACAGGCAGGGAAGGTCTGATGAAATATGCAATTAAATTGCTTTATGGGAAATGTAGGATGTTGGGACTTGACCTGTAGTAGGGACTAAAAAGTCAGGATATCTCGGCCTTTTCTCCAACAACTTTGACAATTTATTTTTTTATCTGTCTCTTGAAAGGCTCCTTTCTTTGTGGAAGTGCAGTACTGAAATGCTAAACTACTCCATCGACATGGAAAAAGAAGTGATTTTTATATACTTAAAGGAGCATATCTTATGACTCAAAGTCTGAGCCAGGATTGTCTGCACACGGTTCTCAACATAGAGGCGGTTGAGTTGGCCGGCTAGCAGCTAACGATGCTAACAGCACAAACAGCACTAACGACGGCAACAGTGAGGAGGGCAAAAGCGGGCATTACGCTTTTGCAGCAATGCCATCACTGTTATCAGCAGTAGCCGCTGTATGGGCGCAGTGCTGAGTGGCACAGGACAAGCTAGCCAGTGGGATACACACACGACACACATACACTCATATGCATGCTTTGCTGGAAAGCCTAGTTCACATTACACGATTTTCACCGCTATTTTGACGTCGCAGAGGATCTTGAGAGCCACTTTGAGTCGGAGGTTAGTCAGCAGATAGTCTGCCACGACGAGTCCTCCTGTGTGAACAAGCCTACGAGCAAGTCGCCCCCTCGTCTGAGACTGGGACTGGATATCTGGCATGCTAGAAAACTGGAGAAGTGTGACACGACTGACATAGAGCATCAGCCAGTGAGAGGCGGGATACGTCCCACGTCAGCACGCAGGAGGACGGAAGAAATGTGAGGACAAGCCGCAGGGTTGCCAGATGTGCTCATTAGCCGCGACTTTGGGCTTGTTTTTTTGTAAAGTCACTAACAAATATTGGTAGTCGGGTTGCAGTTTTTTGGGCTTATTTCTAAAGTGGAGTTGCTTATTTGGGCTTGCTCTCTAAACGTTGCCTTTCTTTATATATATCCATTGCTTCTTTTGGGCTTGTTTCCATAGCCCTGGTTGCTTGTTTCTCTCCCAAGATCTGGCAACACTGACAAGCGGGCAAGCAACAACAACAAAGGCGGCGTCCACAGGATCACGGGGAGTGCGTTGTGTTTGGACCCAGGCCCTGGAGGCAGATCTGATTCAACACTGGAAAGAATATCCATGCCTTTATGATGTGTCATCTCCAAGTTTGGTGACGTCACCGCGTTATCTGGGGCGAGACTCCCGATGACAGAAACACACGTCGCCAGGTATGAACACTCAAAAGATTACGATAGTCTCCGCGATGCAGAATCAGGGTGCAAATCATGTAATGTGAACTAGGCTTAACTAAGAGAGGTAGCCTGACGTCATTCTACGGTTGCACAATATGCAAAAAAAAACAAACCAAAAAAAAACAAAAAACAAAATGCTATTGTGATTATTTCTACAGATATTGTGATATGAGTGCAAATTTAGTTTGAATGGTATTTTTTTGGGCATTTTTAATTTTACTAAAAAAATATAAAAATGATGATGATGTGATTTTTGCTGTTGTCTGTACCAAACAAGCATATTCCCTTATGTCTGGAATATGATTTGCAGTCCGGGGCATCTCTATAGCACCAATATGCTTCATTTAAAATGGCATATTGGTGCTATAGAGATGCCCCGGACTGCAAATCATAGCACCAATAGCACCAATATAGCACCAATATGCTTCATTTAAAATGGCATGTTGTGAAACATTTTACCTTTATCATAAAATTGCAGCTCCTGTGATTTGGATATTGCACTTAGCCATATTGCAATTTCAATAATATTTCTATTAACTGTGCAGTCCTATTTCATTCTCTGCTCAGAACACCATCACTCCATTATATCTACATAGCAAAGAGTTGTTTGCTGCTGTGTTGTTGCTCTGAATGTGACATTCAGACAGAACCTTTAAAAACAACAAACCACTCATGTAAAATAACGGCACAACCGCCACACTAATGAGAAAACAAGATGTTCCCATGAGGCAGTGCTCAGTCTGCAGGTGCAAAACTTTGACACTCAGAGGGATGGAAAAAAATTAACAAAACTACTGGAAAACAACTTTGAAATCACCCTTGCAAACACTGCTAGTGTCAGCTTTACATTATATGTGAGTATCCAAAGCAAAACATGACAACAGAGCTCTAATGAAGCCAGAAATACAGTTTCATCTGCACTGGAAGACACCTCAAACACAGCCTAACTGCAACAGTGAAGAGGTACAGCTATCACAAGCTACAACAAACCACCAGGGATGTGACACACCAACTGCAGACAGCCAACTGTCAACATGGCAAACGTTTCTACAGCAAGTACAATACTGATTTGGTAACGTCAAAGTAAAAGTCCCACTTTAAGTATAAGAAGAAGAAGTGTTATAAGAAGCATTCAATGCCTGCACCTCATCACGCTTTATGTCCCTGGTGAGGTAATATTTATGTTCCTGAAGGTGTAAACTAGCAGCTTTCAGCAACAACTTCCTCTCGCGGCTCAGTGTAACATACACACACTTCCTCTCCCCCACCTCCTGTCTTCACCATGCAGACCTAAAATGCCCCTGCTATTTATACTGCACGGTGACACGAGTCAAACCTATGCGTGTGTGTGACCTGATACCAGTGCATTAATTAGCTCAGATCCACAGCTCCCGGTAGGTGGTAAAGGTGGGTCAGAGTTCAAAAAGGATGACTCCTCAAAGCTGCAGCGCCTTGAGTCTCTAAACCAAAATGTAAAGGCAGGGTATTTCACTCTTCCCAAGTGGGAGCTGGCAGCTACCTGGGAAACAGGTGTCTGCTCAGGAAGTGAACAAGAGGCTCAAAGAAAGAGACAGTGGGGGGATGACTTAAGGAAATCATGAGTACATTAGCTCCTCGCTCTTCATACACTGCTCGACTTCAGAAGAGGCACAAAACTTTTTGGTTATGGTTTCATTACCATTCAGCAAACTAAAAACATGAACAAATGGCGTCTACCTCCTGCAGTTAACACTCCTTTTTCTTTTTCCTTTACTCCCCTTCAAAGAGCCACCGTTCTGGTTGGCATAATTTGTCACAGACGGCCCCTTGTGGCTCCGCTACACCAGCTTTCACCTCTTAAAATAGGCTCTAAGTTAGAAGGAGAGCAAAGGAGACAGAGCGAGAAACAGAGCACCTGGGGCGATATATGCCTTTAACAACTACATCTGTGTGAAAGGACGACACAAAAATGGCCTGATGAGGAGTGGATGGGGCTTTAACATGTACACAGAAAGTCATACTGTGGACTCTGTCCCATGAGTGTAGTCACACAGATGGGGACATTATAGAGACAAAACATTGATGGAGGGCGACACTAACAAATACTGCCATTCCCATTATGCAAATCCATAGCATCATTTCAAGACCTTTCCTGTCTGGTGTGGCTCCACATTTTGAAATAAAGGCCTGTCTCAATTAGACGCCTGATCTAGTTGCCAAGCAGTTATTTTTACAGAAGTTGTTTGGATGTATAAAACCGGATTGTTGACTGCCAACATGAGTTACCGTTAGTTAGCTGCTTAGATCATGCATACAAATATAAATGTTAAACCCTTGTCATTATGGAGATGCTACATATCGTTAGCTCCGTTCAGTTCATTTTACAGAAACCATGAGCACCATTCATTCATTCATTCATTCATTTATTCATTCATTCATTGTCAACTCTACATCCCCATACCACTACTTAATGCAACTGTATTCACAGGCTGAATCGTACTTTAAAAACTGGTGGAGTTCCCCTTTAGTTTCCATATTTTGGAGTTGGCAGTAGCCTCCCTAAATCACTTTGGTTGACGTCCAGTTAGTGATTAGTAGTTAGTACAAAATGCTTCATTCATTTCTTGCATTCTAGCTGCCAAACACTACACTACAAAGTGGGGGACCAGATAAGAACGGCTGAAATTCGGGACAGGGGAGTTGAGGGTGGGCGTGGCCATGTGGTCATGGTGGGTGTGGCTTCCAGTTAGGGATGGGCAAAATGAAGATATTATATTGTTATTGAGACATTAGACAAAATATAGTCTTAGATTTTGGATATCATTGCAACGTGATATGGCATAAGTGTTACATTTCCTTCGTTTTAAAGGCAAGGAGGAATTCGAGTGAAGTGATTGAAATTCATCAACTTACCAGACTTTTCATTTGTTTTAACGCTTGTCACCTCTACCTTGTTTGCATCAGAGAGAGTATTTGGTCAGAAATTTTGCTATGTTAGATTTCGTCTCCCAGTCCTGTCTCCCAGTCATGACGTGCTTTTGAGGAAATTGAAAAATATCGAGATATATATTGTGTATCGAGATGTAGACCAAAAATTTTGGGATATAATTGTTATGACATATCACCCAGCCCTACTTCTAGTTCATCAGTAAAACACATGAAAGTCAAAACAACTGGGCGTTGGTGGCCTAGTGGGTAAAGCAGGCGCCCCATGGTCTACATAAGTGATTTGATCTTAATCTTTTCTACTAATCCATGTAGACTAATTGATTGAGAATTAATGAAGGTGTTATCTCATTTGGACTGAGGAGTGTCTTTATTCCAGTGACAGCAGCAGCACCTTGTTGGGCGAATCTCCACTATGCTATTAATTATTCATGACACTGTGGCACTACTCCAAAATACACAATACATTTATTGCAGCATTTTTCAATATTACTGTGTCACCACATCAGACCTCCTCAGCATTTTTGCCTTAAACTCGTAAGTCAAGTCGAGTCTCAGACAGCTCTCGTTTTAGCATGTTCATATCATCTATCTCGGCTAATTTTTAGGACAGGATTCAGGATTCAGGACACCTGCTTGTAATTTGAGACCATCACAAATTTTTCAGGATGTCTGGTCATGCTAAAACAAAGATTAGTATACAGTGCGTACTTTAAGGTATCGCTATATGGTGTGCAACTGGGACTAGAGCAGCCAGAGTGTGGGAGGACAAACCCCTGCCTTAAGAAAGATGTGTGTGCACAAGGGTATTTTACCTTTGAATCCTTCCTCGTCAAGGACGACTGTGTAGTTCTCTGGCGTCTCAGTCAGACTGAAAAACTTGCATCTGAAGCAGGAGAGGAAGCACAGACGGAGGAAGGCATGCGGTGGAGGATTGAGAAAACATGAAAGGGGGGAGAGAAGAGGGAGGAAGAGAATAGAAAAACAGTGTTATTCATTTGCAACCAACAAAAGGAGGTTCAGATCTTCATGATAACAAGTTACCAGAAATTAAGGACATAGGGGTTCTCCGAAATTCACACTGGTTTCAGGACTGGCTGTCACTCAATTAACGCAAGCCCGAGCAAAGTATTATGCCAGCATCGGTCCTTTGTCTACAGCAAATGGTGGATAACATACAAACTGGGGCACCGGTTCAGTTACCAACTGCTGCACTCAAGAAAAGACTGGGCAACACCATTGTTTATGTGAGGATATGCGAGTTTCAGAGTTCACAGGATTGTATAAGTGCATCTGCTATTATAAGTTTAGAACTTGCTGAAATGTCTCTGCTCCAGTACCACTCAGGTTTGGGTCATCCACCGGTCTGCGACGTCTGAAAGTTACTTTTGCTTCCATCTTCTACCTTGTTCTAAAAAAAGATCCACTTTGGTTAAATATTTGAAAAGACAGTGTCAACTGATGCAGCCCATTGGGGTTAAAAATTTACAAAGAAAAGACAGAAAAAAAACCAGCCAGTGTCAAGATGTTGTCATTTGGGATCTCAGAGCTACTCTCTGCATGACTGAACCTTTAAATACTTTGATTACAATGTGCTATACATTCTCTCTTCAGTTTGGTATTTGCATCTTCATCAGGCTTGGGGCCAACAGCATGCTTTCAAAGGCTGCTGCTTGGCCTGGCCACCGTGTTAAAATCAACTGAAGGTTGCCTTTGCAAACAGTAAATAGGCACATGGGGTTTGGTGCAGGCTAAAGGAAGATCTGGGTTGTTTTCTTGGATTACATCAGATTTTAAAGCCATTATACTTCAAAATCTCAGTAGCAGAGAATAACAAGGAGTCCAGGTAGAACTAAACAAGCCTCTTGTTCACTTGGACATTAATGGCAACTTTGACAAGGTACATCGGTGTTCAATCTTCACGGGCCAGCCCAGACTCAAGGCTTTCACTCTGTGCTGTCAGTACACACTCAACTCCAAATCCTGAGGGCTTCAAGGGCTTTTTTACTTTCTGGGTAAGATTTCCTACCAGCATCAACACTCCTTAATTCATCTCAGAAATAATCTCTGTCCATACTGACCTGGAAATGCATCATATGACCATTCATGCACACTGGGCAAGAAGCAGACTGTCTACCCTACAGATGGTTGCTTAATTACAGAAAGTGCAACGGATACTGCAAAAAGTAAGACAAGCTATTTCTTTGCTTGGACTGATCACAAAATCGAACTATTACTGACAGTAACATGAGTATAAGGCAGTCAAGGCGGCAGAAAACAGAGTTCTTAATGATACAGTGACATATCAAGAGCAACACACACTGCCGCCGGCGCGGCGCTGTGGCCCCCCAACACATTGGCAGCGGTGCGCAGCAGCACTGTCGACACTAAAGTGTATTTCCCACCCCAGCCCGCTAGGTGGCTCTACCTACACTAGTTGCCAACGGTTGCCAACTGCTAGTAACGGAAGAGGAAGAGGTCAAACTTTGAGGCAACAACAACTTGGGTTTCACGGGTGAGTTTCTTATCATAATTGTCTTATTAAAAATTTGAAAAAATTAATAACATTAAGCATCCTTAGCATACGGCGGCTGAGACGTACATAAAAGGCTTTTCTCACAGTTCAGCCACGCTGGAAATAGAGCAGTTGGCTGAAGCAGAGCGGCGCGGCGCGGGTTGTTCATAGAATATACACAAAATGTTTTGGCTTGATACGTTGTGACTGGTCAGACCCAATCAGTAAGCGGACATGAGTGTCTGTGTCATCATTTTGAAAAGTCTCCATTGTTGCCCATCGAGATTAAAACACAACCTCAATGGGGCGTTGGTGGCTTAGCGGTAGAGCAGGTGCCCCATGTACAAGGCTGTTGCTGCAGCGGCCCGGGTTCGACTCCAGCCTGTGGCCCTTTGCTGCATGTCACTCCCTCTCTCTCTCTCCCCCTTCACACTTGTCTGTCCTATCAATTACAGGCTAAAAATGCCCAAAAAAATATCTAAAAAACAAAACACAACCTCAAAGTTTCCAAGCTAAAATGCTGTCAGCAGCTTTTTCAAAGGAGTCTGTGTTAGAGGGTCTTAACACCTAAACAGCGTGCACACCAGGTGTAAACGTATCAGTATTATCAATATCCATCCATCCATTTTCATCCACTTATCCGGGGCCGGGTCACAGGGGCAGTAGGCCAAGTAAAGCACCCCAGACGTCCCTCTCCCCAGCAACGCTTTCAAGCTCCTCCTGGGGGACCCCAAGGCATTCCCAGGCCAGATGAGATATGTAATCCCTCCAGTGTGTTCTGGGTCTGCCCCGGGGCCTCCTACCAGTGGGATATGCCCGGAACACCTCTAAAAGGTGGCTCCCAGGAGGCATCTTGATCAGATGCCCGAACCACCTCAACTGACCCCTCTCGATGCGAAGGAGCAGTGACTCTACTCCGAGCTCCCTCTGGATGACTCCTCCTCTATCTCTAACACTGAGCCCAGCCATCCCGCAGAAAAAAATCATTTCGGCTGCTTGTATCTGCAGCCTCTTTCTTTCGGTCACTACCCAGACCTCATGACCATAGGTGAGGGTTGGAAGGTAGATGGACCAGTAAATCAAAAGCTTCACCTTCCGGCTCTGCACCTTCTTCACCAAGACGGTCCGGTGTAGCGCCCCATCACTGCAGAAGTCGCGCAAAACCAATGATCTATCTCACACTCCATTCTACCCTCATTCATGAATGAGACCCCTTATTAAGAGTCATAAACAGCATTAGGGTGGATGTAATTATCTGGTTTATAACATTTATATACACATATGAGGAGAAAACTCAAACTACAACCTCAAAGGAGCACTTCAGTTAGAAACATTCAACCACTTAGCTTAAAAGTATGCTGTGGGTGTTGCCAACGGCGAGCTGCAGCAAAACAATGAACTTTGTAGAAACTTGATGAAGACTTAGCAGTTTAGAGTTTAGATGAGCTCACAAACTGGGTGAATTTAATATGAATTCGGCAACTATGATGCCAAAGGGGATAACGCTCTGATTACCACAACTGACAAGTTTCTTCTCTGTAGCAAAGACGGCTGAAGGTCATCGTGGGGACTGTATGATTTAGAGCCTATCACCATATTGTGGAAAAAATTCTTTCTCAGAAACAAAGTTAAAAAAAGAAACTGTTGGCCTTAATATAGACTTAACCTATAGTACTGACATATTTCCAGGGGACTTTCCTGTTTTCTGAGTAACACTGCAAATACCTTTGAAAGAAGAGTGAACTGGACTTTTTAAAGATACAGTGTTTGAGAAGCCTCGTTATTGAGTTTTCATTCATGTTCGGCAGAGAAAAGATATAGCCTACGCAATTTCTACATGAACGACCTCTCTTTGTTTTCTTTGAGTCCCTAAAAAGGAAGCGCTCCATATTCCTGTTTTCCTAAAACGTCTCACTGGAGATACACCTTCCTCTTCCTCTGCTTATCAGTCAGCTGGGGCTATTACAGTAGAAGCCTGAGTGAGACTGCAATACTCCTGACTCAGCAAAAAGTAATCCCTGCCATGAGATGGGACAATCACCCCACAGAGAGAGACAAAGAGAGAGACAGAGCAGAACACTGTAACACTAACTACCAGCTGTGCTAGCAAGCTCAGCCAGCCCATTGTATTATAATACCCCCCTCATTTCCTGTTGACCCTTCACCTTCCCCTCGCTCGCAGTTTCCTGCAGGTAGTGTGTGCCAAGCATAACAGGACTGGGTGATATGGAGAAAATCAAATATTATTATGTTTTTTACCAAATACCTTGAAATAAATGCAACGGTATTGATGCTTTCACAAAATATTTACACAATGAGATTTATGATTAACAGGCCTTATTATCAAGGCAAATAATAGAACAATTCAGGCAGTCGGTAAGTCGGTCAATTACATCACTTTACTGTAATTCAGCCTTTTAAACCAAGAAAGAAACAACATTTACAATATTACAATACCCAAAATCTAAGACAATACCTAGTCTCCTATCACAATATCGATATTACCCACAAGTGAGACTGATCAAGTGTGGAGCTTTATCACATTTATTGTGTCTTTCGAGAAGACAGCAAAGGCTCTTACATTACTACAAAGCAGTCAAACCTCAGCCACGTATAGGTTGTGTTTTGTCAAGCAACCTGAGGGAAATCCATCTGTGAGACAACTGTGTTTGTTTGGTTTCCTGTTTGTCATGTACAGATAAAACAGATAAGATGCCTCACCTAAGTTCCATTACTGAATACTGACAGGAAAAATTTATTTGTCTGACATTGTTATTGTTACCATTTAATCCTCTTCATCATTCGCACAGTGTAAAGACTGTTGTGTTCACCTGCCATCAGTACAACCCTAGACTTCTTAAAAAAGGCAGAGAAAACTCAATATCTCTTGTTGCAGAAATGCAATGTATATTTCCTTTGCTTTTCCTTCCAGGAGAGAATCTGCTTAACAAAGGTAAGATATTGGTATCACTTTGTAGAACTTCATAAAATAAATGCAGCTCCAGGAACCTTCCTAATGTCTCCCCACAACAAAGCGTTCTGCCCTTACCATTACAACTAAGCCTACTCTATCCTCCACATCAACACATCAAGGGAAAAAACAGACAAGTAGTGGACAAACAGAGCCCAGAGGAAACACAGTATGCAAGGGTGGGGTTAAGCTCAAACACAGCTAGTTTGTACATGTTGTGAGAACTAGTTGGAAATCATACGTGTGCATGTGTTTACTTGAAAGCAGAGTGAAAAGCAGGTTGTCATGAAGAGCGAGGAGATACGATATTTAAATGTAGGGATAATGGGGTGCACTTACAGACAGTCTCTTTTGGAAGACATTGATCGTGGTGCAGTTGAGTGAAATGGACAGAAATAGT